TCAATTTTCCAAATGAATGAATTTTCCAAATAATAATATAATCTTATAATTATGTTACAAAGACAGTTTCATAAATTATTCATAACTACTTACTTTTCATAATTCACTATAAGCCAAGCTTGTAGTTTGTTTTAATTTCTACATTAAAAGCCCATGTTACCAAGCCATAATATAATATTTATTGTCTGTGATGTTTGCACTCAGAATTTTTTTTCTTTTTGAATAATTTCTAAACCCTGAAAGTCTACTTGTTTTGATCTGATAAATGACAGGATTATTAAAGTTGCATTTACATTCTTGTCTCAATTTGTAAGGTACCATATCCCCTGACCAACAAATATTGAGATTGTGGATGGATAACTTCAATTTGTAAGGTATCATATCCCCTGACCAACAAATATTGAGATTGTGGATGGATAACTTCAATTTGTAAGGTACCATATCCCCTGACCAACAAATATTGAGATTGTGGATGGATAACTTCAATTTGTAAGGTACCATATCCCCTGAACAACAAATATTGAGATTGTGGATGGATAACTTGAATTTGTAAGGTACCATATCCCCTGACCAACAAATATTGAGATTGTGGATGGATAACTTGAATTTGTAAGGTACCATATCCCCTGACCAACAAATATTGAGATTGTGGATGGATAACTTGAATTTGTAATGGTACCATCCCCTGACCAACAAATATTGAAATTGTGGATGGATAACTTCAATTTTACTGCACAATATGAATTTAAGCCAGCCTCTTAAATAATTAGATTTGTAAATAACTGACACTGAGTTAGGGGGCTCTGAAGCCCAGTTCCATTGTAGGACTAAGACCCTCCAGTACTGTTAAAATGAAATGTATGGTCAGGGCAAGGAAGGATATCTAATGTTAATATTTCAGAATTTTTAGCAAATACAAAATCATTTTAACTTTTTTTTTGTTAGTATTCAGGTTATGTTTTACATGTTTTCAAAGTATGAATGTAATTTTTATAGTTCTAATGACAGCAGCCATATTTCCAGTGCTTTTAGCTTTCAGTATTTACTTGTGATAATAGTATTTGCAGTAAACACACAAATAGTACATACAAAACAGCTAAATTTTATTATATTTTGATAAAAGCGTCACTCGCTTTATTTATTTATTACTTTTCATAGTAAGCCTCTAAGTGTTCAGCAGTGGGCAGTAGTTACCTTGGAGACTGGTTAGCGCTGATATTAGTTGGTTTCCAATGAGCTGGTAACAGGAGCCGTATACTAGTACAGATTTTGTGTTAACAAACTACTGAATTTTTTTATATTTTTTATAACTGCAAGGTGCTATACAAATGTTGGTATTTACATAATTCTACCAAAACTATAAATTCAAAGGTCAACACACCTTCACTACTGGTTAAATATATTACTCCAATTTTTCACACACCTAGCAACAGCTGTTTCTATGGTGGTATACATTTACCACCAAACTGACCTCACAATCTAAGGTCAAACCACAGCTACTCTTAATCTAATATATCTACTAAATTTAAAAGATATCAAGATTTATTTAATTAAATATTTCCTGTCACAAACTGGAAACCTATTTCATTAATATCCTGTGCTTTGTAATAGCTGTTTTTTTATCTGTAATGATTTCAACAATAAATTTCTGTTATTAAACATTCAGTTGTAACAGTGGTGACTGATCCAGTAAACCTATGGGTCACATAGGCCATATTAAAATAGTTGCTGGTCTTGCCTTCAATTATGGGAGGTCATTAAAGTAAGCAAAGTTAGATACATGGGTTAAAGAGTGTCAAATTTCAATCAGTTTTATATAAGTATGTAGAGTCTCCTACAACACATGTAAAATAAATTTCAATGTATTACAATTATAGAGCGTTAATAGTGACTCAATTTGGCAAAGAACAAAGAAAGCACCGTGGGGTATTGGAAACATAACATAGATAGAGAATATTTAAGGTTAAATTAAAATTTGTGACTAGATTATTAAAACAGTGTATACCAAGACTCAATGAAGTATCTTTAAAACAGATAAAAATAGGGTAATTTATGTAAAATGATATATTAATAGGCACATCTCTAATATGTCATGCCTAATTAAACATATGAACTGTGGATTACCCTGAAGAATCTATGTATAAAGTTTTTTATAAATTGAGTGAGTGGATTTCATGTAAATCTCATGGTGAATGTGGAGTATTCCAGAACATATATATACCCTATACCAAGTTTTATTTCAAAATGTTGTGTTGTTTTGAGACATAAGAAAGTTGCCTAATTCATGGAAATCTCAAATCTAGGTATGTGCATTTTACCAAAGCATCTATGAACCAAGAGTCACTAAGGTTGGATTAGCGATACTGGCAATAGATATCTGTGTAATAACTACAAATTTACTAATTTATGCAAAATGGGTCATTAGTATGCACAGATGCCAGCCATAAAGTATTACCCCAGAGCACACATGTACCAAGTTGCCCTGAAATCAAATGAGTGGAGATATCGATGTGAACAATATTTTGAATCGTGATAAGAAGAGAAAACAATGGAGTTGACTTACTAAACTGCAGAATCATTTAATTCATATTCGTAACCACGTATGATACTCAGTCGTATTCCTTTGTCATTCCATAATGACTTGAGAGCGGTTGCAATACTTGGTCTCATTATAAAAGAGTCATTAAAACATCGTGTACATTGCAAGATTGTCTGTGCATGAAACTAAAACAAGAACAAAACAAAAAGGTCAAATTCAGACCATGCAATGCATTGTGGGTAGTATAATACATGAAAAGTAAAAAAATCAGTAGGTATTGATTTAGTTTCCAGAAAATCACAGTCTGACAGTATTCATAACACTTTTTGTTTGGCATTAAGAATTTATTTGAAAGAAATAAAAACATGTGTTAGAAAACAGAACCAATTTAAATGATGATATACAATGTAGATGGAATGTTGTGAGTGTGAAACTTACACAGTAACAATGAGGGTGGTCTGCAGTACAGACACTAAATAAATACAAATGCAATTATTGATTGTTATGATTTCATTCTTCACAATAAAATACAGCAGTCAATTGAAATTGTTTAAAGGCCCAGGAATACTATAAATACGCTCCTAAACAATAGGGATTATTTCCTTGCTTGTCATGCTGTAGTAAACAGCTCCAGCCAAGCTCCGGTAAATAAATTTTTTCTCAAACTTACAGGTCGATTATGTCGTGCCAATGTGGATGCATGTAACTATGAATATCACAGCAGTGACTGTGTGTAGTATTTATGACAATAAATAGTGTACAAGCTTAGATTTTGGCAGATAAAAGTCAAAAACACGAACCGGGGAAAGGGACGTGCTACTAATCTTGAATAATTAACTACTGTCAATCAAAGTCACGTGATGTTGGACTGCTGAAACAGGATGCGTCATAGGCTATGCAAGTGATTAACAACACTCATTAGCATAGCCACACCTCCAATTCAAACTTGCCTGGGGCAAGTGAATTGGGCCTTTAAAGGGGAACCGCTCAATCCCATGGATTGCACCAAAGAATCATGGGACACTATTGTTTATGTTGTCTACAAAGTTAATCTATCTTTTGTTATCCATTGTAATTTTAATCCAGAAAGTAAATTTGTTGTGAGATTAGGCTTAACTGGAACTGCCCCTTTAAGTGGTATCACCATCTGAATGACTGAAATATGCAAAGCTTGACGTCAACGCCAACAGACTTAATTCTTTGGACATCATAACATTTTGTATAATTTCATGTTTTTTTCTATTGGGACAAACTTGACATCATATCACATTGACTACAAGTATTGATAACATTTTATGGTAAATTGGCAAATCAAAGTTAATTCTGCAGACATCCTGTGTGAAAACTTAAACGAACATAATGAAGTAATGCATATAAGACTGAGAACATCGTCTGTTGTCTGCAGTTGGTTCATCTCAATCACAAATAAGTTATGGTTACATCAATTCTATTTTAGTAAGATTTTGTAATCATTACCAACTGTATTAGGTTCATATATAAACAAAAAGAAATGGCTGCCAGACATGTTTCTGTGGATTAGTTTCTCCATGTGTTTAGGTAAAAATAGTTGTAATTTTTGAGAAAATTAACACCCTATTCCTGAGACAATTTCCTTCCTGGCCCTACTCAATAAAGAGATTATTATGAATGTTATAAAGTAAATTGAAAAATAAAACAATGATATATAAAACTGATATTGTTTATTTTTCAAAATTTGTGAAGTATTTCACACAGAAACAGAGGGAAAGAAATACTGCAGTAGAGTGTTGAGTTTTAGTTATAAGGTGACACTGACCTTGTTCTTTGGATTAGCCAGATTAATACGAAGCCAACCCATACCAGTTAATACAAACTTCATAGAACTCAAAAGATTGTCCAATACTGCCGGCTGAAAACAAAACAGTTTGAAATTATCATTAATATGAAAAAATAAAAACACAATGGAAGCATATTTGTATATGGTTGCTAAACACATTAGTTTGTTCAAATAATAATCAAGAAAATGGACATTATAAAGTTTCAAACATGGGCTATACAGGGCAAGTAGAGATAAGAAAAAACAGGCATGGTTATGATTGCTATGATTATGGTCGCTATGGTAATGGTTGCTATGATTATGGTCGCTATGGTGATGATTTTTCATGATTTGGGTTGCAATGGTGATGACTGCTATGATTATGGTTGCTATGGTGATGACTGCTATGATTATGGTTGCAAAGAAAGGTTTTCATGAAGAAGTAGAAAATAGGATTTTTTAACAATTGTTTTAACATAAAAATTTCAAAAAATGAGTATATTGGATATATCTAAACCTAGGTTATAAAATGCATTGTTGATCCATGAAGATGTACTGATCATCACTAAAAATCAAACTCCTCTGTACATGCAACTCATAATTCCTTGTGTTACTGTGTTTTATTGAAATTTGTTAGTTCAAAACAAGTATGTGACCAATCATATTCAAATGAGTTTCTCCTCATCAAGACCACTGCTTTGCCTGCACTCAATGACTACAAATCACAAAAATATTCATAAAAAAGAAAACTTAAATTATTTTGCAAAATCAAATAATGTGCCACAATAACCCACCATATGGGATGTTCATGTTTTGTTTCATTCATTGCTTAAACATTGTACAATTACCCATACAAGCACAGATGTACATATCCATACACAGACACTGTACATTCCTCTAGCCTCTGTTTCAAACTGTGCCTAATGGGAGGGCTAATAATTAGTTTTTTTCTAGGGCAATGCTGTTCTAATTTATTTATTTTTTCAAAACAAAAGGGAACATTTTTCGTATTAGCACAGGACTGGGGTATAAGAAAGTACATGTATCAACACCTTACTCAAGGTGTGCTTTTTTTGAGTTAACTGACTTATTCAAAGTAGTGAATGAATACAAATACATATCTTTATAATATTTCAAAGTTACCTTTTTGGTTTTAAACAATTAAACAAGAGGAATTTTCAAAATTAAGAAAGATATTCAAGTTGCTAAAATACATGTACATAAAGATGAATTTCAATTCTTACAGATTTCACAAAAATGTCTTTGGATACAGAAAATGAAAAAAAAAGGATTTCACATGGCTATGTAGTTTGTCTAAATTGGGTTTCCATGGCAATTTTGTGAAATACCAGTTTACCAAAATTGACATTTTTGTTAGTTTTGGTTACAATATAGTTTCTATGGTAAAAGTATTAATTGACTGAAGTCAAATTCAGTTATTGATTCCATTCCATTCGATTGTGCTCAGTAACTCACTAGTGTTGTAAACACAGGAAGCAGAATTCTTGAGATTTAAAACTGGTGAGGCTAGTGGAGAAAATACTAATTTGTTTACTTTGTTCTCTGGTATGTCAGTCTCTTTGTCTGCTTGAGGTAAGCAATTGGTTTGTTGTAAAACAATGTTATTCACAGATTGTTGTGAACAATACTAGAATACAGTTAGTCAGCAGTCAGGGCGGTGCAAGTGTTAACCTGCATTACAATAGGTTTGAATGGAATTTGACACAGGGAGGGGGCGTTAACCTCAAAAAACAGAAGAAGTGGCACAGATCAGAATCAACATTACAATTTATAATATCACAAAAGCTATAACTCACTCATGACAAACATCACAATAGGACTGTTCAGTCTGAGAAAGTTTAGCAAAATGACAAGAACTTAGCAGTCTGACACTTGAGACGTAGAAAATGGATCCCAAAATAAACAGAAAAGAAGTATTCTTTACAAAACAATGTTTATTTACTCCATTACTAAGCTTGCATGATTTCTTGATCAAACATCGTTGGAATGTTTGCAGTTCAGGAAGCTGGACTTTTATAATTCAATGTTATTGGTTCCTACTATGAGAGACTAGAGAGGTGTGTCTCACTCAGTATTTATAAACCTAGAGTCTTTTTATTATTTTCAAATCTTTTCAAATGCACATATCCGTATAACTCCTTTGTGATGCCATTTCCTCTGTTTTTTTCTCCTGATTTCCCTTAAACATAGCTGACTAACCAGGTACTTTGAACCCATTTACATGCTTTTATTTTACAAGTTCACATGGATTTAACTAAGTTTTAGTAATTTTCAGTAAAAAATAGTGAAATTACCAAGCAGTGAATAATTATTGCATTTACAGCAGCCAATGTAACATCATAACAGCTGATATAATAGAATGAAATATACATAACAAGTGGCTAAAATTTCAACCGTACTGTAAATTACAAGTATTAATTTTAATGTTTTTAAAAAATATGTAATTTTAAATGTGTACATTTTAAAGTTTTTTAAAAATATGTAATTTTAATGTGTACATTTCAAAGTTTTTTAAAATTATGTAATTTTAATGTGTACATTTCAAAGTTTTTTAAAAATATGTAATTTTAATGTGTACATTTCAAAGTTTTTAAAAAATATGTAATTTTAATGTGTACATTTTGATGATTCAGGAATTATAGGCCATAAATAATTTAATCACTTTTGTACACTCAAAAAATATTTTATTTTATTGAAAAAACACCAAAAAACTAAGAAGAGACTGTACGAAAGTCTACCCACGATGCTTCTCAAAGACCTTTATTAATTCACCCTTTGAAATAGGACATACAGTGTACCGTATTTGCTCTATTAGTAGCCCATACGTTTACCTTAATTACAGAGGTGTTTCATACGATAAAAATAATCATATAGTAATGATTCAATATACAAGAAATGCAATTTTAGGTTTAGGTTTATATGTGCTGCAAAATTGTTTCGGTGCAAATGTTTTTTTGTGTTCTGAATTCTAAAGTTAAAATCACTTGCTCTAGTTGACATGACACAAGTCAACTTGATCACTGAAGTACATGTATATATTTTATTTCCTGTTTTAAAACATTAGATGCCACATGAATGCTATAAATGTTTTTATGCGTTTTATGTGTTTCCATGGCAACAATTGTTAAAATGAATTAAACTTAAGTGAGTGATTATACTACATATGGCAGTGTATACTACTCATATCAAAAATGAAAAATACATAAAACTGACGTATAGTTCAGGTCAACCTTTGATGTATAACAAGACATGAATGTCACATTATAAAGTAGTACAAGGAACATCTGCAAACAGGTGAATAAATATGTACTCTTTGTGGGTACAACTCATCATAAAGTGATTTCCCATAATCTAGTTTTGTACTGACAACTAAAAACTTCCACTGACCCATGTTCAGAATCTCAGAGTACACAAGTGCAACAAAACTATTTGTCATACATGTATACATGCTCAAGAAACTGCATTCATAAATCTGAGTGATTCTTGATGTACATGAATGCTTTGTTAATCAGGTCTTAGTATATTACCAGGACCTCGGTTTGTTTCAACATCACCACTGGGCATCAGAATCATTCTCATGTTGTCAAATACAATTTGTTATTAATACAGTATTAGGTTTATTATTTAAAATGTATTCATTGTACATAGAACAACATCTGTTAATTTAAACAATTGTAAAAGCTATGTTTTCAGAGCAAGTACATGTAATAATTAAGAAAGCCAGTAGTGATAAAGGTTGGTCTGCTCATAACCTTCAATGGAGAAGTAACAATAATTGTTTGAAGTCTTTTTAGTGCAGTGATATTATTGCATTTCAATCATTATTAATGGGTATAAAATACTGTAAACCATTTAATTTTCACTTCTAGATATATTCAGGATTTTATGGAATTTGTGTACAACATTTCAATAAAGTCCCAGAAAAAATTGCCTTGCGAAATTGAAGCAGTTCATAGCACCACTGTAAAAAAAAAAAAAAAAAAAGTTTAAAATGAGAATAGTCAAAGATATACACATGTGGGTTCATAAGACATATGTACCAATCTGAGTGGTTCTAGAGATTAGTATCACAAGATTTTACTCTCTGTGATTCAATATCAGCCCTATGTATAACGCTGTGTTGCTTAGGCGAACTAATTGACAATGGCCCTACAGGTATCGCTATGCAATCACAGTAGTTTTGTATTCTTCTAGCATTTCGACCATGGAAAAAAATAATTGGGGAGGTGGCCGAATTATCAGAGGCGTATTTTGATTGGTCGAATTATAGGAGTATAAATTCTAGTAACTGAAATGCAGGATTGAAAAAGAACAAGACAATACGCAAGATTGATAAACCTTCAGCGAGCACTCCTGAAATTTCAGATCATTGGTACCATGTTTTTGGATACATTCAATGACCTGATACATAAAACTACATTTTTTATTGGTCAATCGCTCGACCCTGTATGGCACAAGATAGTAAGCTTCTATCATAAAATTGGGTTTTTCATTTGATGCAACGAAACATGCATTCACAGCAGACGGAAATTCGTTTGAGATGTTACTGTATTTTTGTATTCAGTTTTCCATTTCAACCACCATCACCACTTAGTAAGCTGAGATCGTGCATTGGGATACTGACATCATTACTAATAAAAATCATAATTCTGTTCAAACAATTAAAAATAAGATCACATTTAATTTAGTCAGTTTTCATAATGAATTACATAATAACATGTATTTATAAAATCTCTGGTTTAGGTGTCAAACACAGAGAAGAGTGAAAGGCCTTAATTTGGTTCTGAAATAGGCATCGCGAAATGTTGAAATTGAATCCCCCCAAAAAATTCACATAATAAAATATGCATTACTTTTTTCATAATTTTGATGATAATGAAAAGTAAAGTATGTTCTAAAAGAAGTTTCGAATAAATACAAACACGAATACATTGCTTAGTGGTTAGTACCGGTAGCAAATGATCACGGTAGCACAATCTGGTCATTCTGTGTGTCGCAAGTGAATAACTTACTTGTTTTCAAAGTATTGCAATTGTTGATTATTATTCAGTAATGATTATAATAACGTACAAAAAATTTATTTGTTGAATTTTTATGAATTGGAAGTAAAATTCAACTTAGTTTCATCGTAAACGAATGATTTCGATCGAATGTAACTGCTCGATGCAATATGATATCTGTCATGTTTTTCATTATACATAGCTCATTTAAATATGTTAATGACATTGGCACGTATTTTACAATATATATT